GAGAACTTCCCTAATTTGGGGAAGGAAACAGGCATGAAAATCCAGGAAGCACAGAGAACCCCTCTCAAAATCAATAAAAATAGGTCAACACCCAGAGTGAGCTTTCTAAAGTACAAATCTGATACATCTTGCCAATCTACATCCTAAAGGCTTCCATTGCCTTCAAGTTAAAACTCAGACTCCCTGGCTTGACATGGATGACTTTATGATATGGCCATTGCCTACATATTATTTCTTATTTCTTACTATTTTTCTTACTGTTTTTATTAACCCACAGTTCCTTGAAATGGGCCATAATCTCTTTCAACCCACCCGTTTGACATTTCCTTCAAAAAAGGCCATCTCCTTTGATTCTATAGCCTGATCAATGCTCCAAAATTAAGCATCAGTGAAGGCTTTTACTCCCAACACTGAGAAAGTACCTCTCCCTGTGCTCTTTAGAAACCTACACATATATTTTCTAACGCTTACTCCACTGGGTAAAAAACTATCCATTGTCTTAGTAATACCTCTCAAGATTATGAGCTACTTGTTAATATGAATAATACCTTTCATCTTGATAACCCTAATACCTGAGAGATAATAGGAAATCAATATATTTATGTCATTAGCAAAGGCTTAAAACAGAAAACTGATCTTCCCAGAATGACTATTGATCTTCATGTTGTTAAATCAAATGCTCAGTTCTCAGATCTATCAGCAGTTTTTGTCACCATCTGTCACTTGCTTCACCTTGAAACACTTTCTTTACTTGATTCCCACGTCTTCACACTCTTCTGGTTTCTCTCGGATTGACCCTTGTTACTTCTCAGTCTTCTTTGTTGGCTCATCCTCATGTCATCTTAGACCTATTCTCATCTCATTTACACTCAGTCCCTTAGTGATCTCAGACTCTCAAGACCTGATGCTGTCTCTTTGCTGACCATGCTCAAATTATCTCTCTTGACTGGACTTCTTCCCTAAACTCTAGGTTTGTGTATATAACTCCCTGCTTGACATTTTTAGTTGACTTTACAATAGAAATTTCAAATTCAACATGTTTTTTTTTCTTCAATTTTATTGTGGTATAATGGACAAATAAAATGTAAGATATTCAAAGTATATATGGTGATTATTTGATGTATGCATATATTGTGAAAGGAGTCCTCCCATCTGGTTACTTAACACATCCATCACCGTGAATATTTACCTTTTTTGTATGTGGGGAGGGTGTGGTGGTAGGATGGAGAGCATTTAAAAACAAATCTCTGATCTACCCAAAACCCTGTTCCACCCTGTCTCCCTTATCCATCAATTACAACTTCATCCTTGTAGTTGCTCAGACCAAAACACTTTTAGTTATATTTGACTCTACTTTCTCTTACTCCTCACAGACATTTCAGCAACAAAACATTTGACTCTAATCTTAAATATGTTCAGAAGCCTTCACTAGCACCACCCTGCTCCAAACCACCATTACCTCTCATTTGGCTTCTTCCATTAGCCTTCTATTTGATCTCCTGCCTTCCACTTTTGTCCTTCTCAGTCTATTTACAAGCCTGCAATCACAGATATCTTTTTAAAATAAGTCACATCAATCACACCCTTGATCAAAACCTTTTAGTGACCCTCCATCTTAGTCAGAATCAAAGTCTACATCTTAACATTGGGCTATACGCCTTCATATTATCTAACTCCTCATTATCATCTCTTTGCTCCCCCATCCCTCACTCTGCTTTAGCCACATGGTCTCCTAGGATGTCTTCAAGCAAGCAACATGTTCCTGCTTTAAAGTCCATGCACTAGCATGTTCTTTCATTTCCTTTAAGTCTCGGCTCAAATTTTATTTTCTTGGTAAGGGCTTACCCTATTAAAAATTGCAAACCCCCTATATCCATTCTTCATATATACCTCTTCTGCTGAAGATTTCTCCATAGCACTTATAACCTTCTAATATTTTATTTTATTATACTTAATTATTTTAGTATTTATACTTAATTATATTGTAATTTATTGTAATTCTCCCACCAGTGCAATGTGAAGTCCCTTTGGGTAGGAGTTTTTGTCCCTTTTGTTCACTGCTGTCCTCCAGACTCCAAAAGATTGTCTGATGCATAATCTTTCAATAACAGTTTCTGAATGAACAAAGGGTATACACATTTTTGCATTTCTGAGTGCCTGACAGTGCCTAGATTATAATAGTATTTTAATGTTCAAAAAAGCATTATGAGATAATTACTGTAGCCATTTTAAAGATAAAGGAACTAAAATTTCTAAGATTTGAGTCAATGATGCCTCTAGAATTTCTGTATAGTCAGGACTTAAGGATAGCATTCTGGTTAGTGGGAGGATAAAAAACTTGGATCTCAGAAAAACACTATCTTTTCTTACATGGTACGCTGTATTTGAGAATGGCTTAAGAAATGTTGATTACATGTGGCATTGGCCAACATACCTCTAACTTTGGCACCAACTCTTGCTCAAGGTTTTACCGTTTTACAGAGCTGTATCCCAGCCAGTATCTTTAGGAGACAATGAATACAACAGTCTGTCTATAACAGAAGTTCATGTAGGGAAATAGAAAATGACAAGATTGATGATGAAATGATGGCCATATTGTGGGGTTTTAGAATGCTTTGCTCAGAATTGGTTTCATCCATTGGTTCCCAAATCTGTGATGATTCTTAAAAATGTAGATGTTGTGGACCCACCCTATACCTCCTACTGGTATAGATATTTAACAAGCTTCCCGGATTTGTGTTAAGCAGCCAACTCTATATTTCCACCATAGATTGGCTTTTGGAAATATGGTAAGCAGGTAGCAGTTTGCATGTATTATATATTTGCCGTTTACTCCTCTCTATAAAGTACTCCCATTTCTGTGCACTGTAAAGCCAGGTAAATCTGACAGGGGGTGAATGGAATGTATTTTGGAGCAATGTGTGATGGACTGCCTCACAATAGTGTTTTTTTCCATCTGTTATAGGTCAATGCACAAACTGGCCCAGTTGGAAAGACTTGACCTAGGCAATAATGAATTCAGTGAGCTGGTAAGCAAATGCATTTTCTAAACTTTATAAATACACCCCAGGAGATTATTTATTTTGTCTCTATAACCCCAGGTATTAAATTATCCAAGTGCACATTTGCATTTCTAAATATAAAAACAAAATGAAACCCAGGAAATAAAGTGATTGTTTGACTATATAGTAAACCATAGAGAACTGGAGAGTACTAGATTCACTAAAAAGGGGAGAGAGAGAGAGAAGAGGAGGAGGTAAGGAGATGCAAATTGACAATTTTGAGCACCAGCTATGAGCAGGCACCAACTTCAGTGTGTCATATATATTATCTCACTTAACCCTTATTTGCCATGTTGCCATGTTAACTTTATGGAAATGAGCTCAAAGTGGTCACCAACTTACACAGCTTTTATGTCGTTGGACAAGCAAGACTTGATTAACTCAAAGTTCATACCTTGAAGACTTCTGCCTTTGAGGATGCTTAGAGAACAGGAGGGTTTAAAGGCCTTCCATTTACAATTGTACTGAAAGTTTCTTTCTAGTGAACACATATTTCCATCTTGCTGCCAAAATTGACAGAATTCTGACTGCTCCTTTCAGGCTTAAGCTTTCTTTAAAATTTGCCTGAAGACCAAAATCTCAAATGCAAATTAGAAAGCAGATAGTCCTTCATAAGCAGACTCTTTCTAATTCAGAAGTCTCCTCTTGAGCATCTTCAAATTTCAAAAATGCAATTAATCTAAAACATATTTTAACTATTTTGAAATTAAAACATTTAATTAAGTAATCAACTATTCTCTCCCAGCTGTGTTGCTAACAGTGTGACCTTGGGCAAATTACTTAGCCTCCCTAAGCCTCTTTTTCAGTTTCTCTAAGATAGAAATGCTAATGGCTCCTTCTTTACAGGGTTAGCGTGAGAATTAAATGAGATAAAGCATGTACCAGGCCTGGAAAAAAGGGATTCTCAATAAATGCCAGTGTACAGGGTATAATCCACACTTCATCTTGAATGTGCAAAGAAATTAACTTGTTGGACTTTGACCATAACTAATCTGGCCATTATCCCAGCCTCTATCAACTGTTTCTTGAGGGTAAAAGCTGACATTTAGTCTTCTGCAATTAAAAGTATAGTCTGATTTAAGAAGTTACAAGATCCCTTTGGGCTGTGTTCATCCTCCTTGCATAACAATTCTGTCTGTCACGTATCTTCGCACCTTCCCCTGCCTCTCTTCATAACATGGAATTTGGGCATGTGCAAAGGAGGCTATACGTCTTTCTGAAGAAAAGGAACTCCCTGGTCTCGGTCCAGTTTTCAGAAATGTGCTGGCAGACAGGCTGGCCTCTGGCCTGATGTCTGCAGCTGATCCTGCCCCCTGTGTTAAATCTGGAGTTTTGAAACCATAGTCAGTTCTTTGGGCTCAGGTGAGCACTGGCCAACTCCCCCTTGCTCCCATTGCTACAACTCAGCTCTCATTGCCTGTTAGCTATATTAGTCTCTATCCTGTCTCCCCTCCAGCTTCAGGCTGGCCAGTCCATCCCCCCCTTTCTGTTGTGAAGGTACCTCACTAGCCTTAATGCCAGTAGTGACCCTATAGCCCACGTGCAGGCTCTGAGGGTCCACATGATGTGTTAACTGAGAGAGGCCCAGTGAAAATAAACTTCAGAGCCTCCCTCCACCTGCTTCATCACACCACCAGGTTTGCCCTGTTTTCGATGCACTCAACTTGGTTATAGGGCAGTTTGCAAGGTGGCCTCAACACAGATATGGGGGCAAAACGACTCAGTACATAATCCAATGTACCTCGGGCTTTTTTTAAGGTAGATACTTATTAATAATGTAGGTAGATAGGTTGATAAGGAATAGCCGTAGCAAACTGTTTTATACTGGGAGTTTAAAAATCAATTGTTAAAAAGCTACAATCTGCCCAGTAGCTAGGTCTAGTGGTTGAAAGAACATGGACCGTGGATTCAGACAACTGAGGTTTGACTCTCAATTCCGTCCCTGGCTAGCCGGGTATCTTTGGGTCTGTAGCTCACTCTCTATCCTCAGTGTCCTCTTCAATAAAATAAGGGTATAAAAGTCATCTGTCTCATAGGCTTTTTGGGAAAATTCCATGCAAGAGAATCTATAATAAACACTCAATATATGTTTCTATGAATTTTGATTCTGTCAGGTATATGACTTTGGAAATCAAGTCTATAAATATTTGGACCAAAAATATGAATAGGATATATTTATATGTTTTTGAAATTAGACATAGTAAAAATAAACTTAAAAAACATGTTATTTTAACTTATGCTTTACGGTATCTAAGAAATCATCATTGAGGAGAAACTTTTTTTTTTATTTTTGAACTCCCAGTATTCCATGCTAATCACAAAGCAAGTCTCTCTAAAAAAAAGTTTTTCATTTGTCCCTGGACCACTTATTCGATAATACTGAGTTACTTGGCATTGGCAGCAGGGAGGAGGGTTGGGGAGTATAATTATGGAATTTCACATTTCTGTCAATCACTTTTAATCACTTTTATTAGTCATATGTGTGGGACTAGCTGTTGTTTCCCTGAAAGTAACAACTTTTAATGAGAAAATAAGAAAATTTGCTTTGATAAGAGTCCTCTAGAAACAACGTCATGTGTAGGAAAGGGGATAAGTTCCATTCTGTAACTAGGTATTGACACCTAGGAGATTACTGTTAGAGAATTCATTTTGTGTGACATTCTAAAGAGACAGATATGCAGAGAGGATGATAATAAGTAAAAAAAAAACTTACACTGTAAAAGTCTAATAAAAAGAACAGAAGTTTGCTTTCTTGAGACTCAATGTAAATATACTAAATTATGTTTGAAGTAGAAAGATCTACTTAAGGTTGCCTTTGTCATAATGAAAGATTCTAAACAGAAAGAATTATTTTACATTTCTAACAGCAGTAACCACCAGAAAATACTGGGCAAAGTTCTGAGAACATAATGGATTCTCAAAGGTTTTTTATTATTGTTGTTTCTTTCATGGCTTATTTTTGTCAATATAAAATTAACACATACCCATTTTTTTTAATTTAAAAAGTTAAAAGAATTGTAAAAATTATAGTAAAAGTAATCCATGATCTCATTCCCTTATATAACCATTATCAATGTTTTTGGTATATTCTCCCCCTGCCACCATCATTTTTTTAATTAGATCAAATGAGTATTATTCGGGGCCAGGTTAGAGATGGGACATATTAGGTTGATGCGTTGGATAACATCAATTCTTAAAACTCCTCTGTATACTCTTGGTAGACAGCCTTCTAACTGTCACAGAATAATCAGGAGCTTCCCAAAGTCGAAGAATGGTCAAGGACACTAAAACAGATTCAGTGATTGCCATGGGGCCCAGGAGCTCTGTGATAGGTATATATATTTTACATGTATATAGAGCTGTCCAATGGACTAAGAGTCCTATTCATCCTGCACTGTTAGTGGAAATAACCAAGGCCCTGAAAGCAAATCACCATGAGTGAGAATACTGGAAAAGAAAGCAGACTGAGCAGCAGAGCCTGGAGGAAGATGGAATGGTGGATCCAGAAACAATGTGAGGGCATATGCCCATCCCCCCCATCAAGCCCCAGATTCCAGCTCCCAGCCTCTCATTCTCTTTTCTCTCCCTTCCCTGTATTGAAAGATAATAAGAAAAGTGTCACTCAGAGCCCCCAAAAACTCTGCTATGGGAACCTTCATCAAGAGTAAGCTCTAAGAAACAAAATAAGAAAGCTTCTTTGCAAACCAGAAAGAGAAAAGAGCTGAGCCCAGAGGAGGCAAAGAGCGGACTGCCGAGTAGTCTGTGCGTGGTTCAGGGTGTAGCCACATAATGCAGGCAGGCAGGCATGGCTCACAAAGGGCTGACAGCAGTCTGAGTGACACAGTGGACAGTGGTGAAGGAGAACAGAGAGAACGGTGGTCACTGGAGCATCTCTTGTTATGTGGGAGGTTCCCTAGTCTCCACTCCCCTCCCTGCCACAAAACCACTCCTAAAAGGAATAACTGGGGAGGAGGATCCCAGGAAAGGCCCGATTTCTTGATCTCCTGCTATTCCAGTGAAGGGAGGTCAAGTGAAGGGAGAAGTGAGATTTGAAATTGCACTATAACTGAGACATAGTTCGTACTGGTTATATGTGTTTTTATAGAGATAGTTCTGTTTACCAAATTGAAATTATAGTGTGCATTCTATTCTATTAATGCATGATGATCAAATTCAAATAAATTCTTTGCAAACATTATGAGTTAGAAGCTTTCTCTGCAGCTGAATTAGGAAGACTGTCAAATAATAGCCAAAAAATAAATAGTGAATTGAAATTCAAACTTAAGAGAAAATAATAAAATCAGAGAGACTTGAAATTTTATTATATCAAATGTGATACATATAAAACAATATATGTAGTATATGTTTAAGTTACAAAACATACTAAAATGCATCCCTGTGAACCCACTGCCATATTTTTGTGAACTAGAGCATCACCAGTCCTATACAGCTACCTGTAGGCTCTTACCTAATTCTGCCTCATTCCCAGAGACAAGTACAATCCTAAATTATGTTTAACATACCCCACATTTGTATGTCTAAATATTACAGTGTTTCACTTTGCTTGTTCTCAGGCTTTCTAGAAATATGACTATACTACAACTTACTTTTTTCTTCACAATCATTTTTGTCCAGTTTTTTTATTACATTGCTACTGTGAATATTCCTATAAGTACACATGTGCAAGAATTTTTCTAAGGCTTATGTTTAGAAGTGGAATTTCCCAGTCATTAATTGTGCACATATTCAACTTGAAAAATAATGTGGTTTTTTTTTTTTTTTCAAAACAGTTGTACTCACTTACCAGCACCTGTAAGTGCCCCCAAGCTCCACATCTTTGTCTACGCTTGATATTGTCAGACTTCATATTTTTTCCAGTATAATGGCTGACAGTGGCATCTCATTATGATCTGAATCTGCCTATCCCCGATCCCTCATGAGATTGGTGCTTTTTCCATATGTTGGTG